ATCACCGCAACCATCACCGCAACCATCACCGCAACCATGGCCTCGGCATACTCGAACCTGCCCATGGACGGCGACGACGAATTCGACGAGAGCCAGATCGACTTTACCGACATCGAAGATCAGTTCCAGGTACGGCTCGACGAGGGGCTCGACGCCTTTGTCGTCATCGACGGGCTGCCCGTGGTGCCCGAGGACAGCAAGGCCAAGCTCGTCAAGTTTGTGCTGAGGAAGCTCAACAGCGTGGGCAAGGTCAAGGACGACGGCGTGCACATGCCCGTCGGCGAGGCGGGCAAGACGGAGGGATATGCCTTTGTCGAATACAGCGCGCCCGCCGAGGCCGTCGCGGCGGTCAAGCAGCTCAACGGGACTGCCCTCGACAAGAGGCACACCATGGCCGTCAACAAGCTCACCGACATCGACCGCTACGGCAAGGAGGGCCGCATCGACGACGAGTACCACGCCCCCGAGATCCCTCCGTTTGAGCACAAGGAGCACCTGCGCTGGTGGCTCGGCGACCCCGACAGCCGCGACCAAATGGCCATGTACCGCCAGGACAAGGTCGGCGTCTTCTGGAACGACAAGGAGGACCAGCCCGAGCAGGTGGTCGACCGCGAGAACTGGACCGAGTCCTTCATCCAGTGGTCGCCCCAGGGAACCTACCTCACCTCCATGCACGCCCAAGGTGTCCAGCTGTGGGGCGGCAAGGCCTGGAGCCGCCAGAAGCGCTTCGCCCATCCCGGCGTCAACCTCGTCGACTTCTCCCCCAGCGAAAAGTACCTCACCACCTGGTCCCACCGCCCCCTCCAGGTCGACGAGAACCACCCCGTCCCATCGCTCTCGCTCGAGGAGGACGGCAAGAACTACATCATCTGGGACATTGCCACGGGCAAGCCTCTGCGCTCCTTTGCTACCATTGACGTCCCTGGCGGCATCGATGCCGAGGGCAACCCGGTCAAGAAGAAGCTGCAATGGCCGACGTTCAAGTGGTCCTCTGACGACAAGTATGTTGCACGCATGACCCAGGGCCAGTCCATCTCCATCTACGAGCTGCCGCGCATGAACTTGCTCGACAAGACTTCCGTCAAGATCGAGGGCGTCATGGACTTTGAGTGGGCCCCCGCAACGCCCCGCAGAGAAGGCATCAAGACGTACGAGCAGCTCTTCTGCTACTGGACCCCCGAGCTCGGGAGCAACCCCGCCAAGGTCGGCCTCATGTCCGTCCCGTCGAAGGAGATTGTGCGCACCCGAAACCTCTTCAACGTGTCAGACGCCAAGCTTCACTGGCAGTCGGAAGCTGCCTACGTCTGCGTCAAGGTCGACCGCCACTCCAAGTCCAAAAAGTCTCTCGCCACCAACTTGGAAATCTTCCGTGTCCGCGAAAAGGGTGTGCCTGTTGAGGTCGTTGACTCCATCAAGGACACTGTCATCAATTTCGCCTGGGAGCCCAAGGGCAACCGCTTCGTGCTCATTACCACTGGCGAAGTCATCCAGGGCGCCGCTGTTGGCCCCAAGACTGCCGTCTCTTTCTTCGCTCCCGAGAAGCTCAAGGGTGGCGCGCCTGGCAACTTCCGTCACATCCGAACCATTGACAAGAAGAACAGCAATGCCATCTACTGGTCGCCCAAGGGACGATTCGTCGTTGTCGCTGCTCTACAGTCGCAGCAGTCATTCGAACTCGAATTCTGGGACATGAGCTTCGACAGGCCAAAGGAGGAGTCCGAAAAGGGCGACAAGGAAGTCAATGCCAACTTGCAGCTCATGGATACGGCCGAGCACTACGGCGTCACCGACATTGAATGGGACCCGACTGGCCGCTATGTCGCCACAGTCGCTAGTGCCTTCCGTCATCGCGTATGTATCATCATCACTATTATGCTCTTTTGTCTCTGCTGACACGCACTAGATGGAGAACGGTTACCACCTCTACGACTTCAAAGGCACGCTGCTCCGCGAAGAAGCCATCGAAGGCTTCAAGCAGCTCCTGTGGCGCCCACGGCCCCCGACCCTCCTCTCCAAGGAGGAACAAGCCGAGATCCGCAAGAATCTGCGCAACTACTCCAAGGTCTTTGATGAACAGGATATTGCGAAGAAGAGCTCCGCCAACAAGGCTGTGGTGGAAGCTCGCCGCGAGATGCTGGATGAGTGGCGCAGGTGGCGCGAAGAAGTTACACAGAGGCTACGCGATGAGGGCGCCGACCTTGAGCTGGCATCTCTCAAAGGTGAGACGCCTGGTCAAGCGGATGATGGACATCAGGAAGAGATTGAGGAAATCGTAGAGGAGATTATCGACGAGACCGAAGAGGTTGTCAATTAGGTGGTCAAATGAGTAGAACCGAGTTGTGTGACAGCAATTTTAACCAGCATGCTAGGAGCACGTTGCTCCGGGCATATGGAATAACGAAGGTTACTAAGCTTACGTCCACTTACATCCGCCTTCTCTAATGTGTCCCTTGAATGGCGTTGCCGGCTTGTTTTTCGAAGATCGATTATGGTGGAATCAGGACTTACTTGCGTTCTACTTCGAGTGCGTGTGATAGTGTAACAATGTGCACACGAAGCTTCAACGCAATGTTAGCAGGAGCTCCAACTTGAAGCAAGGCCTAAGCCGTCGTTTGAGCGTCTGAGCCAGCCTTTGTCTCGCTGATGGTCTGCAGCTCGGGCGTCGCTCTTTGCTTTGATGCTATCTGACAGTTTCCCGGCCTTGCCTTTTGAGACAACGTAATGGTAATGTGTACATAGGCGATGCAATTAGTAACCAAGCGATGTCCTTCAATTGAGGCTTGTATTGAGATGAACTTAGGCTGTATTAAGGGTGCTTACGTGAAGGAGTGGGGACCTGCCTCCCGTTAGACATTAGTAATATGTGAGAGAGCGTTGCTGCGATAACATAGGATCTAAGTGACCGCTACACAGACTTAATTTTACAAGCTTGTACACCTTACACAGACGTGCTATAATAATTATAAAAGTTACAAGTATGTTACAGTCTAGCGATTAACCTATGCAATGTACCCAAACTTACTCTAGACTACGGTAATCTAGCTTATTTTCTCTTCCGCTCTTCTAATTTCGCTCTATAATCCTACTCGTGTTAGTACACTCTAAATCTCGCTCACCCTTTAGTCTCTGTGTGCTTACCTGACAGCTGATCCTTAAGCCCTCTTCCAAGCCGACTCGAGGCTTATATCCTAGCAGTAACCTCGCCTTCGAAATACTAACATAGCGGTCCCGACATCCGTCACTCACAATGCCCCGACTAAGCACACCCTCCGTCCCTGTCACCCAGCTAATCCATTCGGCACAATAGCCCAGACACCATGTCAATCCTTCTGGAACCCGGACGTGGAACTTTGGAACATGGCCGAACTCCTTCCACACAGCTATGCAAAGGTCCCTCGCCGTGACCGGCTCGCCGTTGGTAATGAAGATGGCCTCTCCAGCAGCTGTTTGCGAATTTAACAAGTTTCCAACGGCGAGGACATGGGCGTCTGCTATGTTTTCTACGTAGACGAAGTCCTGGAGATTGGTCCCTGTGCCTAGAATAAAGGGTGTCTGGCCGGCTGGGATGCATGAGTGTATCGTAGGGATGCACACAGTGTCGTTGCGACCGAAGATGGGTGCTGAGCGCAGGGCGCAGGTGGCGAAGTCATTCGTATTTGCGGAGAGCACAAGGGATTCAGCGAGTGCCTGCTATGCATGAGTTGGTTATACAGTACGGAGGTGAAGTGTGCGTTGTCGTGGCTAGAGCAGTACAGGGAGGTTTCATACAAATTGGAGGAAGAGCAACGGTGAATCGGCAGTATTCTCTGCACATAGGAAAGAGAACGTGAATAGAGTAAAACTTTGTTACCTTGCTTTGTCCATAGCTCGTATGTACACCTCCCGTGGGCCAATGCTCATCTACATTCCTGAAGTCGCGATCCAACTCGTCCAACACGACAGTCACGCTACTGGTATACACAAAGGCTTTTGTACCGCACTCCCTACTTGCTTCGACAACATTCCTTGTTCCCTCGACGTTTGTCCTGAAGATGGCCCCTTTGCCCTTCATGGAATAGCGCTTCGTCCCCAGAGGGAACACACCCACTGTGTGAATGACGACGGCAGGTCGAGCTTCGGAAAAGACGCTGTACAAGGAAGATGGGTCCAGAATGTCGCAACGAACATAGCGTACAGTGTTGGTAAAGGTGGTGCTACCGAGCGAAGGCGGGTTAACGTCTATGACGGTGATGGCGTATCTTCGGGTGCTCAAGAGTGCGGAGACGACGGCGGTGCCCAGGAAGCCACAGCCACCCGTTACCAGAACGCGTGTTGGCTCCATTACAGCGCATGGAAATTATCGCGGATGTTATTGCATAGAACTTGGTATGTTGTGGTTGCGCGCCGTAGTCGTTGGCGGTCGACGTCGCGGTGGACCTCGGGAAGAGCAGGATACATGATAGAAGCGGGTCGCGTCCGAGGATCGCCGCGCTTTCCCGCTTCGCATCAAACGCTTGTAATGCCAAACGTGCATTATCGTTGCATAGCAAATATACACGTCTGGTATATTATAATTAATTGTACGTCATGCCGGGCAATTTTTAAGCGATGCGAAAGTCTGCAGTTTGTCGCTGGTGTTACACTGCCGCCAAATCAACTTTCCTATAACGTGGACTGAGCAGACAGAGGTTGATAACAGCTATATCAAGCGCAGCTCGACGTCCATTTTACGCAGGTGTGCATTTGTTGTAGTGCAAGAATTCTAGTGAGTTGGCTTTTACAGCTTTGAATACCGCCTGTGCAATCTCTGATTGATTTGCGATGCAGGAACAACATCGATCACCAAACAAAAATATTGCTTGATTGCCGGCGCCATGAGAGTCAACGAAAGCGAAGGCATGTAGTGAAAAGATCTGAACCCATGCTACGAGGCTAATTTTATCTAGCCATCTTGACACCTCGTCTGATCCTTGTGCCTTATAGCTTGCACCATGTCCCCACATACCACGAATGGATGCAAGATGAGGTAAGGCCTACCCAGCCTCCTATCTCTCCTAATATACGGCTGATTAGTGTGTAGGAATTGCAAACGCTTACAGCTTCTGAGCCGCTGACGCTTTCGGAGGAGTACGCTATGCAGTCCTCGTGGCGACGGGATGCAGATAAGTTGACTTTCATCATCTGCACTTCGCCACACACACCGCAAGCACTGTCGGATGTCTCTATACCTATTAGAGTCACTGGCAAGATAGACGACACGCCCAATCGTATGATTGGGGATGTGAACCTGTTTTTGTACCCGTCCGAGGACTGTAACGATGGCGCAGGGGAACAAGGCAAACACGAGACTGGGGAGATGGACGCGGTGGGCGAGTTGGAGATAATGATTGCCCGGCCTGACGCACGAGGAAAAGGGCTAGCAAAAGAAGCCCTACAGGCGTTCATCTGGTACATATCTACCTCGCTGCCAGCCATCCTGGACGAGTACGCGAAGGGAGCCAACAACAAAGACAAGCCCAAGTCTCTGAGCTACCTCCGTGTCAGAATCGACAAGGACAACATCCCGAGCCTCAGTCTGTTCAAAACGTTGGGCTTCAGCCAAGTTAGCGAACCTAATTACTTTGGGGAAGTGGAGCTACGGTCAGAGGTTGCAAGGCACGGGATAGACAAAGCTTGTTTGTTGGCAAAAAGCGTCTCGTACGAAGACTGATGAACAAACATGTCTGAGATGAGTAAATCCAAAATAGGAGATTGCATGACACGACGCAAAGAAATGTCATTGTTGAAAGCACCTGGCAATGTACACGATATAAAACACACGCTTCCGCTACCGGGTCTCCTGAAGCGCGCAAATACAGACCCCCTCTCCGTCTATTGGTTCGTCTTGCCGGAAGTGTTTGGCTTGGGGACGTGGTCGAGAATGCTCTTGTTTGGCGGTGGCTGGTAGACGATCTTCCTCGTCTTCAGCGGGGCCCACTTGTACCTGTCGTGGCTGTTAGTCATGTGGGTAAAGTGGCGGAGCTGCAAATACTTGCCTCTTGACCCAGACACTGAGGGCGAACAGAACACTGGTGACGGCAAGAACCTTCCAGCCCATCTTCTTACGGTCGTCCATCTCGGGCTCGGCGGTCCAGTTGAGGAACTCGACGACGTCCTTGGCCATCTGCGAAGTCGAAGCCTTGGTGCCATCATCGTATTCAACCAAGTCGTCGTACAGAACACGGGCCATGGCGATTCCAGTGCCGGGGAAGTAGGGGTTGAAGTTGAGGCCTTCCTGGACAACGGCACCAGCAGGCGGCTCCTCGGGGTAGCCGGTCAGCAAGCTGAAGATGTAGTTGCAGCCGCCGTGGCGGGCCTTGACCATGAGGGACAGATCCGGAGGCAGGGCACCGTTATTGGCAGCGCGGGCGGCCTCGTCGTTCTTGTAGGGAGCGGGCATGTAGTCGGACAGCTTTCCGGGGCGCTTCTCGATTTCGCCCTGGTCGTTGGGCTCTGTGTCGTATTCGTTCTCCTCGGCCAGGGCCTTGGCCTCGTCAACCGTCATGAACTTGCCGACGACGGCGCGGTAGGGCACACGCGAGATGGAGTGGCACGAGGCGCAGACCTCGCGGTAGACCTGGAAGCCGCGGCGGAGACTGTGACAGGTTAGGGGGCGGGCATGTGCGGTGCGGTGGGGAAGACGTACGCTCCGTGGTCGAAGGTCTTGTGCCACTTCTCGTGCTCCCACGGGTATTGGGTCGGGTGGAGGCTGTACAGGCACGACGTCAGTACATGGCCGCGGGCCGGGCTATCTGGGGCGCACTCACCCTTCTTCGGCGGGGGTCATGGCATCGACGTGGCGTCCGTAGAGGTGCCAGTACCAGGCAGTCGAGCCGACGGCGAAGAGAGTCGCTCCGGCGGGCAGGGCGTTGTTCTTCCAGGCCGAGGCGGCGCTGTCGGCGGAGGACCATGTCGAGGCGAAGCGCTGTATCACGCACTGGGTCAGCCAGATGATTCAATGGAAGCGGGGGCTGGCCCGAGTATGGCAGCCGGGCCAGCAGTACGGCGATGCAGCTTGCGCCAGCTGCCGGGAGATGCTGGGCCATGCGGGAGGCGTACCGGTTTGCTCGAGGCATTGCGGGCGGCGGCGGCGGCGGAGCGTGCCGTACGCAGTGGTGAGCGAGCCAACATGGTCATGAGAAGCTGGCTCGGGGCTGGGGGAGACGCGAGCAATGGGTTGGCGGCGATGGTGATGCGGCGGAGAACTGGTGCGAGACCATTTTCCAATTTCCAAGCTAACTAATCCACATCACGTGCGCTATCATTGGACGAGGCTGCCATGACGCCTCCGGACTGTATTTTGCTCTCGCACATCGCCTTGCATGCGAAGGCGAGTGTATCCGAGAGGTGCAGGCTGCGACTGGCAGTGCGGCATCACATGGCATGGCAGGCAGTGCAGAGGGTCCCGCGTGGAAGAGACTTCGTCCGTGATACGCAGCAATGTAGCCCTACTTCTATACCCTTTCGCTCATGCAGGAATTGCAAAAGGGCTCAAACGAGGGCTGCTTCTCTCTAGCAAGACTGGCAGTGCCGGGGCAGTGCCAGAACACACGGCGTCCCCAGGAGCGGGAGACGTCGTCGAGCTTCTTGCGTGGTGCCGGAACGCAACGCGACGTCGGCCTGGCTTATATAGTGGACACGGCCCCGATGCGAGCTAGGCTGCATCTGGCCGCGAAGAGAGCGCTGGAGGACGTCGAGCTCTCGCGGCGCAGGGGACAGGTCGCGACACAGCACACGAGAAGCCAGATGCACCGCTTCACCTACCATGGACGTCTTCTGGCCGCTCCCAGCCGCCGACTGAAGCCACGGCGGACGCTACTGCACACGCTCACACCGAACGCGCGACTCTCTCCTCCCCCCACCAACAGCCCTCGCCCGGTCCCTCGTCCCCCACCACCCTCCCGTCACCCTGCCCTTGTCCCCGCAAGGCACTGTTCCCACCGACGAAACATGTGCAAGCACTTCGGCGCAGAGGGCCACGCGTCCATCGACATCACCAAGGGTCGCGAGGTGCTGCCCGCCAACGTCAAGCCCGTCCACTACGACCTGACACTCGAGCCCGACTTTGCCAACTTCACCTACCAGGGCACCGTCACCATCGAGTACGTGCCCGTCCGCCCGTGTGAGGAGGGCCCTGCTGACACTCGGCCAGTCTAGATGTCGTCGACGACACCACGTCCATTGCCCTCAACACCAACGAGCTCAAGATCCACTCGACCAAGGTCACGGCCGGCCAGCAAGTCATCACCGAGTCGCCCCATGTCGCCACCGACGACGATGCGCAGACGACCACGGTCAGCTTCGACCAGACCATTCCGGGCGGTAGCCAGGCGAAGCTCACCATGGCCTTCGCCGGAGTGCTGAACGACAACATGGCCGGCTTCTACCGCTCCTCCTTCAAGGCTGCCGACGGCTCCACCACATACATGGCCACGACCCAGATGGAGCCCACAGATGCCAGGCGGGCGTTTCCTTGCTTCGACGAGCCCGCGCTCAAGGCCAAATTCACCGTCACCCTCATCGCCGATGAGAAGATGACCTGTCTCAGCAACATGGACGTAGCGTCGGAGAAACAGATCCAAAGCACCATCTCGGGCGGAAGACGCAAGGCCGTCACCTTCAGCCCGACGCCTCTCATGTCGACCTACCTCCTGTGCTTCATTGTCGGTGAGCTCAACTACATCGAGACGAACAACTTCCGCGTCCCTGTGCGAGTCTATGCGCCAAAGGATCGGGACATTGAGCACGGCCGCTTTTCGCTCGAGCTGGCGGCAAAGACGCTGGCATTCTACGAAAAAACCTTTGACAGTCCCTTCCCGCTGCCCAAAATGGACATGGTCGCGATTCCCGACTTCAGTGCAGGTGCCATGGAAAACTGGGGCCTCGTCACATATCGTGTCGTCGACGTGCTCATTGACGAAAAGGTCAGCGGGGCAGCTACCAAGCAGCGCGTCGCCGAGACGGTGCAGCACGAGCTTGCCCACCAGTGGTTTGGTAATCTCGTGACCATGGACTTCTGGGACGGCTTGTGGCTTAATGAAGGATTTGCAACGTGGATGTCGTGGTATTCCTGCAATGTCTTCTACCCTGACTGGAAAGTCTGGGAAGGCTATGTTACAGACAATCTAGCCAGCGCACTCTCGCTCGACTCGCTACGAAGCAGCCATCCCATCGAGGTACCGGTAAAGCGCGCAGACGAGATAAACCAGATCTTCGATGCCATCTCATACTCCAAGGGCTCGAGTGTCATCCGCATGATCTCCAAATATGTCGGAGAGGACACCTTCATGGAAGGAATCCGCCGGTATCTCAAAAAGCACGCCTATGGCAACACAGAGACTGGTGACCTCTGGGCTGCCTTAGCAGATGCCAGCGGCAAGGATGTTGGCAAGGTCATGGACATCTGGACCAAGAAGGTCGGCTTCCCAGTCGTTACCGTCACGGAAGGCACTGATTCCATCCACCTTAAGCAGAACCGCTTCCTCCGCACTGCCGATGTCAAGCCAGAGGAGGATCAAACCCTGTACCCCGTATTCCTTGCGCTGCGGACCAAGGAAGGAGTTGACGAAGACTTGACGCTTTTCGATCGTGAAGCCGACTTTAAGCTCAAGGAACTCGACTTCTTCAAGCTTAATGCGGACCACTCTGGCCTCTACCGGACCTCGTACACGCCAGAGCGCCTACGGAAGCTGGGCATCTCGGCCAAGGAGGGCCTCTTGACCGTTGAGGATCGAGCTGGCATGATTGCTGACGCAGGCTCGCTGGCGGCATCTGGCTACCAGAAAACGTCTGGTATACTCTCGCTCCTTGACAGCTTCAAACACGAAGCAGAGTTCGTCGTCTGGGGAGAGATCACGGGTCGTATTAGTTCCCTCCGGGGTGCATGGATGTTTGAGGACCAGAAGATCCGGGACGCTCTGAAGAAGTTCCAGTTGGAGCTCAGCGCAGAGAAGGCACATGAGCTGGGATGGGCATTCAATGAAAAAGACGGTCACATCGAGCAGCAGTTCAAGGGTCTCATGTTTGGTGCTGCCGGTATCGCTGGCGACGAGGACATTACCAAGGCATCCTTTGACATGTTTGACAAGTTCAAGGCAGGCGACAAGTCTGCCATTCACCCCAACATCCGCGGCAGCGTGTATGCCATTGTGCTAGCGAATGGTGGGCAAGAAGAGGTAAGCAGTGCTACGAGGATGAATGGAATGCAGACTGACCAGACGCAGTACGATGTCATCGTCAACGAGACTCGGAATGCCGCCACAAGCGACGAGCGCAACTCGGCTCTTCGCGCACTAGGCCGTGCCAAGTCTCCAGAGCTCATTCAGCGCACGCTTGCCATGGCTCTCAGCGACGAAGTCAAGGGCCAAGACATCTACTTGCCCATTGCAGCATTGAGGTCACACGCGGAGGGCTGTCATGCGCTCTGGAAGTGGGTCAAGGATAACTGGGAGGAGCTGGAGAGAAGGCTCCCCCCTAGCCTGAGCATGCTAAGTTCGGTGGTTGCCATTACAACATCAGGCTTCACCCACCGGGAACACATAGAGGACATTGAGGCGTTCTTCAAGGGCAAGAGCACCAAGGGCTTTGATATGGCGCTGTCCCAGAGCATCGACGCCATCAGCGCCAAAGCCGCATGGCTTGAGAGGGATGCGGACGATGTCAAGACGTGGTTGAAGGAACACAAGTATCTGCAGTAGGCGCCCCTGTCGGTGCACTGTTGTGAGAAATGGCTGTACAATATAGATGAAGAAATCAAAGACCCATGCCGCCAACGCTATGAATAAGAGTGCGCGATACCCAGGGAGCCGGTGCGTGATGAAGCTAGCATGTACCATGAATCTGTCCAGAAGGGTGGCTACGTCAGCTTGCCGAACGTGGGACCGCCAGTTCGGCCATGGCTCTGTGAAGAGTACAATCGGAACGCCACCGCCTCACGTTGACTTTGTGGCGCTCGAGCATTGTATCGCAATAGACACAGCGCCAGCCTCCACGATACTTCCAAGGGTTGTCGGAAGCTCGGTATCGAGTTGCGCGCAGCCGCCAGAGCCGTCATGGCGCAAAGGATGCCGCGATCCGGCACACGCGCAGACGCGAACCCAGACGCAGACGCAGACGCGCTCGCGCTAGATGACACGGTAGAGCTCGAGCAGTTCCGCCGCTCACCCCATCCATACCTGCGTCACGGAGACCAGACACAGAGGCAGTCACCAGGCCCGACGCATCGCGCCCCTCGGCCCTCGCAGTCGCGACCCTCTTCCGAGCCTCCAGGCAAGACAATGCACGACAAGGACGGCAGGACACGCAGGAAACGGGCACCGCACTCCCCGAGCGAAAGCGGCACCGAAGCCGACGACGAGGGCTACAGCCTCGTCAAGGCGCTGCCTGCTCCTCCCCTGCGACCGCACAAAGGCCTCCGCGAATCGCGGACGTCGGGCACAGACGAATGGGCGAGTCCGCTGCTCACTCCCACACAGATCGACGACGAGGGGAGAAAGCTCTTCGAGGGCTACTTCGCTCGCACCAACCGGACGAGGCGCAAGGGAGACGCATACCACAGCGACGACGACGAGGCGAGGAGGGCCAAGCAAAAGTATCTCCAGCGGCGGCGCAACGAGCTGGTCAGGCGAACGACCGAAACTGCATTGCTCGCGGGCATTGCCACGCTCGCCGTCCGCGGTTGCGACTGCTGGGTCAATTTGCTGGCATGGCATAGAGGTCAGCTCACCCCCCACGCATGGGCCCAAGGTCGTTAACCCGTGTCTAGTAGAATTGTTGACGCACGTTGCAATCATGGCCGGCGTCTTGGGACTGTATCCGCTTCGTCTTCTGTACTACTCATGGAGAAATCACTCTCGTCTCCGGCTTGGCCGTCGAATACATCTACCAGCCGCCTTCGATCCTGCCACCATCCTCTACCCCCCAATACTGCCCGTCCTCATTGCGCTGTCACTCTTTGCCTCATCACCAAAGCCTCTTCTACCCAACATGTTGCTCGGCTTAGCTGCGTTGCCAGCCAGACTTATTCCCTTCAGGAGCGCTACCTTGGGCTACTCTCCTCTGCACTGGCTGGTCTCCATCATGCCCCTGATCGCTGCCGAGAACACCGACATACCGTCTCGGCTGTTTGCACAGACACCATACAAACTCAAGTTACCCCCGCCTAACCAAGGTCTAGATCCCGAACTTCTGGTGACGTTGTTTGCTCTGCATCAAGCGCTGCTACCGCCGCTATACTACCTCACCACTACGAGCCTTCTACCAGCAGAGCTGCACCTGCTTTCAATTGGGCTTATCAACCTCCTCTTGTTCTCAGACACCCCTCAAGCAGCCATACTCGGTGTCTTACTGTGGCTAGGCGGGCTGGGGGTGTTTTTGCTCTGCGGCAACATCTTGAAGTGGGGCGTTGCACTTGCACGCATTCCGCGATGGAGGCTTCGACGTGCTGGCCAAGTCATTCGAGCTCGACAGAACTTCTTGCAGGTGTTGACCCGTAGTCTGGGATCCAAACGCGATGGAAGCGATTCCTGGAAAGATGTGAGTGACAGTGATACGGATGAAGAACCCAGATTCGACAAGCCCCTCCAAAAGACCAAGAGCCTTAAAGTCAACGTTTTAGACTCGGTCAGACACATCAGACCCTGCATGGAGGGCAGCGAGCCGCGGTCCGCCGCCGAAGCGACAAAGACTGGTTTTCAGCAGTCTACTTCTGCAGCAGGGTCCACTCCTAACAGTGGACGTAAGCGTAGGAATACCCTCCCAGTCCTCGTTGCTGAAGACCATACGTCACAGCATCGGTATTCGAACCGAAGACAGTCGGAATCGATTGTGCAGTCTTATTTATCGCTCACGCCCACCGAAGCCACAAGGAGGAAATGGCTCTACGCTGGATACTTCTACGTGATTGTGGTAGGCCTGATACTGGGACCAATTCGGTATAGTATCGGCAAATATGCTCTTCACCAACACGAACCTTTTGGATGGGCCATCAGCTACCTCTTCGGCAATATATCACGCGTGCGGTGGGAAGTGTTCACGTGGGATTTGAACTGGTGGGTTCCTCTGCCGACAAGACGGCACGCAGATGACATGGCCCGACTCACACACCATCTGTCGTTGGCGGAATATGTTCGCCGCATAGTACTGGGAGAAGCGACTACGCGTCTCTTGCTGTGCGTGTACTGTGCAGGAACCATACTCGCTGGCCTCGTAGCGGTCTTTTCGCTTTCTGCAGTGGTAGAAGTCGACACACGCAGAAAGGTGTTCCACGGCACCATGGTGGCGATGCTCCTGCCGACCATCTTCATCGACCCTTGTTTTGTTGCGCTGGCGCTTGCACTGGTACTTGCGATATTCCTCCTCCTCGATCTGATTCGCGCCTCGCAGCTTCCGCCGCTGTCCAAGCCCATTGCCAGGTTCCTGACGCCGTACGTGGATGGCCGCGATCTCCGAGGCCCCGTGGTGGTGTCGCACATCTTCCTCTTGATTGGGTGTGCGATCCCGCTGTGGCTATCGCTCGCAGGAGTGGAACGGGCTGGCGACGAGCCGTGGCAAGGCTGGGAGGTGGAAGACAGGGACGTGAGTATGGTGGCGGGAGTTATATGTGTGGGCATGGGCGACGCAGCAGCATCCCTCGTCGGGCGGCGCTACGGGCGGCGGAAATGGCCCTGGGCAGGCGGCAAGTCCCTGGAAGGGTCCTTGGCGTTTGCAGTCGCAGTGTCGGCTGGACTCGTGGTAAGTAGAGTGTGGCTCCGCGTCGGGTGGGAAAGCGGTGCGGCAGGGCACAGGACAGAGGGCGAGTGGGCTCACGACGCATTGCTCACGCTGGGCAAGGCGGCTCTGTGCGCGACGGGCGCAAGCCTCAACGAGGCGGTCCTCACAGGCGGCAACGACAACGTGATCGTGCCAGTGATACTATGGGTGCTTGTGAGGGGTGTCAGGCTGTAGGCAGTCGACGCCGCCGCATCAGGCGGGCTGCAGGTACGGCGTAGATAGACGGGTCGACCCGACCATGAAGCCGGCCACATGGTCGTTCGCGCAGGGGAGCATGACTTGCATTCAGAATGCGTGCGACCAGACAAGAGGCATGTTGGAGCGTGCAGGCGGGCGATGTGGTGCTAGCGCATGAGGGGCACGCGTCGTTATCAAGCATCCCGGCCGGCTTCCTGCATGTGACACGCGCACGCCTGCCTCGAGCCACGGCGTCGGCCTCTTGTATTGTACTGCCTGTGGTGCTCCTCGCTCCCCCGACACGCTGCGCTCGCGATACCCTACATACTCTCCCACTCGTCTCTGCCGCCCTGCGCCGAACCTCTTCTCTCCCGCGCCCAGCTGCTCGTCGCGCCCTGCATCCCCGTCCCTCGGCCATCCATCACCACCATCGGCCGCCCTCGACCACCGCCCACCGCCCGCCTCCCGCCAGCCCATGTCCAACGCCCTCACGGCCGCGCTGTACCCACGTCTTCGCTGGTAGCTGACGCCCGGCTGCTCAGCCAGCGCCGCCGACCATGGCAACACCCCCCAACCCGCTCGCCCCCAGGCGGTCGGGCGCGTCGCCGCCAGTGTCGACGCCCGCAGCCACGGGCTCGGAGCAGGTCATCGGAAAGTTCAAGCGCCTGCATCACATTGGCAAGGGCAGCTTCGCCGAAGTCTACCGCGGCATTCACATTGTACGTTGCTGCCCTCCCTTGCCCGGGGCGTGCGCCGAGTGCTAACTGTCTCGCCGCACAGGAGAAGCGCCAGTCCGTCGCCATCAAGTCGGTCAATATGAACAAGCTCAACAAGAAGCTCAAGGACAACCTCGTCTCGGAAATCTCCATTCTGCGCAGTCTGCACCACCCGCACATAGTCTCGCTCATCGACTGCCACGAGACGCCGTCCCGCATGCACATCATCATGGAGTTCTGCGAGCTCGGCGACCTGTCAGCCTTTATCAAGAAGCGCGCCGACCTCGTAAACCACCCGCAGACGCAGCGCATGATAGAAAAGTACCCGAACCCGACCGTTGGCGGCCTGCACGAGGTTGTCGTCCGCCACTTTGCCAAGCAGATGGCGAGCGCCCTGGAATTCCTGCGGTCCAAGAACTACATTCATCGTGATCTCAAGCCCCAGAACCTGCTCCTCAACCCCTCCTCCATCTTTTACTCGCAGAGTGGCACCCTCGAACGCATGCCTCTGGCTGCCAGCGCCAATTCCTTGATACCCGCCACCGGCATCGCCTCGCTGCCCATGCTCAAGATCGCTGATTTCGGCTTCGCTAGAATTCTGCCGACTACCTCGCTGGCCGAAACCCTGTGTGGCTCTCCCCTCTACATGGCACCTGAGATTCTGCGGTATGAAAAGTACGACGCAAAGGCCGACCTGTGGTCTGTGGGAACTGTGCTCTTCGAAATGATGTGCGCCCGACCGCCATTCAGGGCGAACAACCACGTAGAGCTACTGCGCAAGATTGAAGAGCGCAAGGACCAGGTCAGATTTCCAGAAGGCCTCGTCTGCACCAGGGCCATGAAGACCCTTATCCGCGCACTCTTGAAGCGAAAGCCAACCGAACGCATGTCATACGAGCATTTCTTCTCAGATGCCGTCATTCGCGATGAGATTCCAGACATGGTCGATGAGGACCTTCCGGGTTCTATGCAAGCGTCTGAGCGTATGCAAACCTCCGTATTAGAACCACCCATTGAGCCACCCCAGCGAGTCCACAAGGCGCCCCTCGAGCTGGAATCCAGGCCTACTGACAGTCCATATTCGATCTCGACCAGGGACAGGACGACAGGCCTTGGGACAACACCACCTTCACGGCCGGCTTCTCGACCTGTATCCGGCAACTTCTCAGGCACTCCACCGCAATATCTGCCTGCAAGACGAGCTAGTAACGCCCCTATTGAGCCCAACGACGGACGCACTCCAACGCGTGAGCATCGTCGGCCTACGCTCACCAACGCTGCAACCGCACCAGGACGTACTGCGACGCTGCAAGACCAGACGACAGCACCTACTGCCACCAGCCACAGGCGCAAGTACTCTCGCGACGAACAAGGCCCGCCATACATCGGTCTCAAGGAGCACCTGGATCGCGAGCGAATCCCACAGAGGACGGAAGCAAACGTGTTGAAAGAGGCGGCAGAGCGAGCAGCACAAGATAACGCGCTTGACGAGGGGTTTGTCTTTGTGGAAAAACGGCGTGTGGAGATTGACGCACTGGCAGACGAGATTGCGAATAGTCCACAAACACAGCGGGATCGTCCCCTCCACCGGGAAGCAGCAATGAAGCGACGATCGACAACGCAAGGGTCGCCAACATCAACCACTGGCGCAGTCCCCTCGAAAGCCATCCAGATTCAGCAAAAGCCTACCATTACGCACCAGCGCACAGCTTCTTACAGCCGGCGACAATACCGCCCAAGCTTTGAAACCGCCACCTCTGCTCTTTCCAAGGCTATGAACATGGTCAATATCCGAGGGCTTGGTCTGTCTCCGCCGGTCATGAAGGGCGTCTCACCCCCACAGGGCTATTCCGCATTCCCAGCCTATCCCACTGCGCAAAGCAGCATGCTAATGGTCGGCGATGGAGGCAAATCCGTTGGCAAAGATGAAGATACCATGACGGTCAAAAGGATTGAGGATCTGGCCCAGCTCAGCCACGTTGTATATGGCTTCGCTGAAGTCAAATACAGTCAGCTTGTTCCGGTTGCACCAAGCGACCCAGCTTTAGGAGTCGGTTCCACTGGCGTTGCTCGCAAGCCCAACAGCGATG